ACTAGCTGGAAATCACAGCCTAGAGGTTGGAACCATGGGGCCATTATTTGTACCTAGTACCATATTACAGTTGGGTTGACACTGAACACCAGGGCATCCTAATAGCCTCAAAATGTCCCTCCAGCCCTGGCAGGGGGCTCAGTTTCCCCATTAGGAAAAGAGAAAGGATCCCCTTTCTGTAGATGAAAACAAATGTCTGTTCTGGCATCAGGGTTCAGAACACCAAATTAACAAAATAGCAACAGTCAGTTTCTTTACTCCCTTCTGAGAAAACAAGACCAACAGTGCAAGCCAGAGCCCTTTGCTACTGTGCATCTAGTCCATGAGGGAGGCAGGGACTGGGAATGTGGCCCAGTTGGTAGAGTGCTTGCCTAGCATTCAAGAAACCCTGAGTTTATTCCCAGCTGATCATGGCACACACCTGCAGTCTAGTACTCAGGAGGTATATGCAAGAGGATCAAAAGTTCAAGGTCAACTTGAGGTGCTTTCAAGAACATCTTGGGCTGTTTTAAATATATATATAATAAAAGTGACAGAAATAGTGGTTATGAATGGCAGAATTTGGACTGTAAAGTGGACATTGCTTTTAATTTTATTGTTTATAAAGAGGACCTGTACTTTTACCAGGAAAAGACCCCCTCAGACTCCACTCAAAAACCAAAAGTAAGGGACACTTAGATCCTGTACTTCCTCATGAGGGACAGTGGAATAATACAGATTTTTGCCAAACACCTTTAGCCCAAATCTGGTTGTGAGGTAGTAGGCAAATGCAAACTTCAAGGCCTTTTATGTGACATGTCCACGTTTGGTGAGAGAAAGGCAGGGATTATTTTGGATCCAGGGAGACTAGGGGACCTGACAGGCAAATGGAACACCTGATCCTGGCTTGGATTCTGGCTGCTAAAGGGAACAGCCACAGAGGATGTCTGAGGACAACGAGGAAGTCTCAGTGGAGACCCTGAGAGGATAGTGTTATCTGAATCTCCAGTGAGTCTGATGGGCTGCTACGGGCATGATGTGGTCCAACCAGTGTCCATTCCCAAGACAGACTGCATAGGGAGAAGCGTATGCAATTTGCTTTAAACAATGCAAAGAAACAGATGCCCACACATGTGTATGCATGAATATGGATAGATTATAAACATACACAGTCTTGCTGAAGGGCACAGAAGTGTTCTCATTATACCAGTTTTTCAACTTTTCAGAGCTAGCGAAGCTGTTTGTTTGTTCATTCATTTTAATGTTCTAGGAAAATGTGTTTTGCACAGCAGCAAGCTCCTCTTCCTCTGGGGGAGTCTGGTGTGAGCAGAGGTGAACCATCCTGTATACTGGTTACAGAATGCAGCCAAGGCATCTTCTTATCTTAGGGAACCCAGGATGTGGTGTGGAGAGGTGAGACACAGCCATCACAGCCTGGGGCAGCACTCACAGAGGTCCTTGACGTGTCCTGGTTTTTAGGGGTCTGGGCTCACTTCTAGGTTGGTGGCTTCAGCGAAGTGTCACAGAGTGGGGCCAGAGCTGGCCTCATAACATTGTAGATCACTGTCAACCAGCAATGAACCTGCCATCCTTTCACCTGAGTTCTGAGGCACTCCTTGGGAACAAGGGCGAGTACAGACTCTGTGGCTGAATGTGTATTTCAGGTACATGCTGGATCTGGTCACCTGAGTTCAGATGCCCTAAGTGGACTGTGCCCTTCACCACACCAGGGCACTCTGTGAACAGTTAGTTCCCTGGGCAGGAGCAGTTAGCCGGCACACTTCAACTCATCCCTCCGACCCAAGTCTGAATTCTGTCCTAACCCACAGGGCCTTCCTTGCATCAGGCCCAGTGACTAGGTATCTAGATCTTTCGTCCGTGTGACTCCTTCCACCCACACATTTAAGCAGCTTTTATATGCTAGAGCTGTGCACACCTCATGTTTGCTAGGTAAATGTATGTTGCTCTGAGGAGACTGAGGCAGGACGATTGCAAGGTTGGGGCAGCCTAGGCTAGAGGTGAGCTTAAGACCAGCCTAGTGACATAAAATGGAAATGAAGAGAGATCTAGGGATGTGATTCATGGCTAAGCACTTGCCTGGCAGGATGAGCCCCTGGGGTTCGGTCCCTAGCACCAAAATAAACATGACAGGGAAATGAAGGTTTCGGAAGCCATGATGTTTGCCTTCTCATGCCACATATGCTAGCATTGAGGAAACTTGTGGATCAGTGAGTGGAATCTGCCTCAGGGGACACGTCAGGTATTAGAACTGTCTCCCAGAGACCTAACAACTCCTGAAAACTTTGCTCTGGTTTTTTCCAGAAGCCTTTGAACTTTTCTGATGTTTCTGAGCTGCAGCAACAACCCACTGTGTGTGGAATTGGTTCCAACTCCTCAAAATCGCCAAGTCACTGCTTGGGTTGCAAGATCTAGCTGTTTGCTTTAAACTTTCATTTTTTTTTTTTTTTTAAAGAAGTTGAATTTTTCCTGGACAGTGAGGTGTATCCTGAGCTGTGGATTAATACCTTCATAAAAATGTCTGTAGACAAGAGGCCTGTCTTATTTATGTTACTGTCTGAGAGGGAAAGAAGTTTCCTGAGACTTTTCTCTTACCTGTCACGTGTTTTTGTCTTGAGGAAATCAAGAGGCATCCAAAAGGAAATGTCCAGTTTGTTTTGGATTTCTTCTCTTCCGGCACAGCATAAAACCAGGAAATGGGAATCCTTGCTTATACGGAGCATCTAGCGTTCCCCCTTGCTGTGCATGTAGTAAGTGTTCAATAAGTGTTAGCTGAACCAAAGCTTCTTCTCATCCATCTTTGTGGTTCACACGGAGATCTAGGGATGTGATTCATGGCTAAGTACTTGCCTAGCAGCAGGATGAGCCCCTGGGGTTCGTTTAAAAATAGGGGAGGATTCTGTGAGCCAGGCCACTATTGTCTGCAACTCTGAGTGTGTGTGTGTGTGTGTGTGTGTGTGTGTGTGTGTATGTATATGTGTGTGTATGTATATATATATAGTTTGTGTGTATGCTTGGATGCTACACAGTGCTAACAGGGAGCCAAAGAACTACTTAACAGAATTGGTCTGCTCCTTCCCATGAGGGAACTGGGAATTGAACTCAGGCTTGGCGACAGCCTTTGTCCGTGAAGCCATCTGAAAGGCCCCACCTTGTTTTTTGAGGCAGCGTCTCTCACTGAACCTGAAGTTAACCAGCTGTGTAAGACTGGCTGGTCAGTGAACCCCAGCATCCTCCTGTCCCTGCCTCCCCCATTACAAGAGTGCTCAGGATTCAAACTCAGACCCTCAAGCCTGTAAGGCCAATACTTTACCCCCAAGCCCTCTGAAATGCTTCTTGGATCTCTTTGCACAGATTCCCCGCCCACCTCCAGCACCAGCTCCTGCTCTTTACCTAGGCTGCACTCTCTGTCATCATGTCCACCACCCCACCCCCACCTCCCTGAGTCATTCCTGCAGGGAACATCCTGCTGTGCACTGGCCTCTGGAAGTCCTATTTCACCCATAGGGATCCGCCTGAGCCTGCCATCCTCTAGGAAGATTGCACGTTGTCTTGGCCCCCTCCTGAGCGCCGTGTGCCTTGCACTGTATTTGCAAACACCAGAAAATCAGAATAGATCTTTGAGGAACACTTAGTACCCTTTACAAATGTGTGAAAACATTCAGTTGCTGTAAAAACTCCTTTTCAAGAAAATAAGGTCCGATTAGCGTTGACTTCTGTGTCAGGGGAGCCCGTGTTTCAGGGGAATTCCCTCTGCTCATTCAGCTCCTAGTTTGTGATGCCCCTTCCATACTGCCCTGCTTTGGCCTATGTGTTGCTACCGCATCCTTCAGAGGTGAGGGAGTGGGTGTCATGGATGGCTTGTGGGTAGACACACAGGGTGGCTGGTTCCTGCGGGGTTAGTGGTATGGAATGCAATACTATGAAACTGACTTTGCTACGAATTTTTTAATTCTTTCTCTCCGTAGGAAGGGTGGTTATGGGGGTGTGAGTGGGTGCCTCTTCAATGGAAGATACTTTATGGAGGTTGGTTTGCTCCTTCAAGATCCAGGGCTAGAACTCTGGTCCTCAAGCTCTGCAATGATGCGCCTTTTCTCGCTGAGCCATCTTGCTTTGCTAATTTTAAAGTCTAAAGATATAGAAGAAATTCAGATTAAGAGTGACTTATAAGACTGGACGTCACTCAGGGGTGCCAGCCTGAGGCCTGACGCTGTCAAAACCTGGGCAGGGGTAGCCGCTGGCTTCTTTCAAATGACTTCCTATAACCTCCCCCACACTAAGCTTTTCCTCCCCAACACAGGTGACAAAGTGCCCGCTGCAGGGGCAGCTTGCTCCAGTGGCTGCATAGTGACCTTTCTGGCAAGTGTTTGGCCTAGGAGACGGCCTACGCTGAATAAGAGGGGATCAGGACTGCCCAACTGTCCGGCCCAGTAGCCGCGACAGCCCCTCGCAAATGGGGCTTCATCGTATCCGGCAAGCTACTGGAAGCGGGACTGGGTAGGAGCCTGAGCTGGAGCAGTTCCAGGGACTCGCGCGCCACTCGCCCCCAACGGTGGCCCGGAAGGCGCAGTGCGGCCCGCGCCCCGCCTCCGCCGGC